TCTTTTAACTTGTTTTTATTTATTAAAATGTGACATAAAATTGTCCACGAACGTCATTTTTTCAAGAGACAATAGACTTGCACTTGAAGTGGAGCGAGTTTGAAAACTTCAATAATAACTTTTTTAGAAAAATAGTATATATATATATATATATATATATATATATAACTACGCCTTTTGTTTAGGCAAAGGACAGCACATGGGTCATTCATTCTGGGTGGGACCCACAAAATTCGACCTTTTTTACCATTTTACCTTTTGCCAACGAGGACATTTTCCACCAACCCAACATAGAAATGGGCCCACGTTGTCAATCCTACCATAAACTAATGGGCCCACGCGGAAATCTATCCAAAATAAGCCGCGTGGCCCAAAATTTGCTGTGATGCCTACCTTAATTTATTTTAAACTTTAATTCTTAAAGCTCCTTTTGGGGGATCGAAAATTCCTTTGCTAATCATTTAATCAGCTAAATTTTTAAAATAATGGACCAACAATATTTGTTTGGTTCTTTTTTTAAAATATTATAATATTTTAGAACTATTTTATCATTTTTCATCAAAATTATGGTTTATTTATACCGTTTAGGGAAATTTGACAATCACTTCCCCGTTCTGCTCAACTGTTTTGATGGATTATATTTGTTGAGCACTGTAATGGGCCATATCTTGGTATCATGGGCTTACCTTCGTCCGTATAAGGTTGGCCCAATAATGTTACAGGCCCACTACCGTGGACGGTGGCTTCCGTATCGTCTTCCCTTTCGAACGACGTCGTTTTANAAATTATAGAGAATTTATTGGGTGATTTTTGGCCCTGGCGTTTGAAAATAACACACTTAACTATATATACATATACATTGAATACAACATACTTATTTCAATAACACGTTTTGTTAATTTTTTTTATTAGAAAAACAACTAATTTTAGTTAGAGTACTTTTTGGTTGTTTCCTATTTTCTATATATAATCTTGAAATTTTGACTAAAATTTAAACGTTAAATCTGTTCTACAAAGTTATTACTTTCAACATTTTAAATTCAATTAAAATTTTAAAAATACTCTTAAATTTGGTTTAATTAGTTGAACTAAAAATAGGAATAGAAATAAATTATTTATTTGTTGTTCATGCTGAAACCACAAATCCTATTAAAGCTACCCAAACTCTATTGAATTGCAAGAAAAATATGAAGTTACTTCGAAATATAGTGATACTGTTGTTGAAATGAACTAAACTGACAAATATTTGAATAGATGTTTTAGTTCAATTAGTTGGTCTAAACTAATTCAACATGAATCAATCAATAATCATATAGATTTTTTTTTTTTTTTTTTTTTTTTTTTTTTTTTTTTTTTTTTCCGGGCGGTGGTCGCTTCAGATACTTCAGATGGAACCGGAGATGGCGAATGAGCCTTCTCCGATGGCTTCAGCGTTTTGATTTCTGTGGTTTTTGTCCAATCTTTGATAAGCGAGTTTTTCATTGAAGTAACAGTTCTGAAGTTCAGAATTTCACTACAATGGCGCCCCCAATCGCGTACTCTGCAATCGACGACAAAGATTTCGATGATGCGGCTTTGTGGGCTGTAATCGACTCTGCTGCTGCTGCTGCGACTTCTTCCTCCTCCTCGTCTACATCTCGTAAGTCTCTAGCACTTAATTGCGTCAATAAATCAAACCCTTCCCCGCCGCCAAAATTCCCAAAAAGCCCTAGAACTCCATTCCAGGCGCAGAAAAATTCTAGGGTTTTTGTAGAGGGTGAAGTGGTGCATGAGCCTTGGGTGTTTCAACCTCCTCGGAAAATTGCAAGGACGTGTGCATCTGAAATGAGTGAGAGAAGTCCTCTTGCGGTTGTCTGTAACAATGCGCTACGGAATCCGCCTGCGCCGGTATATTTGTCTCCTGAAGCGTATTTGTCGCCGCAGATTGCTTCTAGATCTGAAGGCTCACCAGCTTTTAGTGGAAGTGGGCTGACCGAGGAAAGGGAAGTTGCAAGGCATAGCCTCTCTGGGCAGTTCCCTTCAGTGTCTCTCTTTAAGGAGTATCAAAATGCGGCAATGGCGGTATTTTCTATATCCATTAATTCCACCTTTAGTTTTCATTTTTTCATATGATACTTTCCCTGCGCAAACCAAGCCTCTGTTTGAACAAATTTCAATTGAACAGGCAACCATGGGATAGCCCGAGCACTAAAAGTTAGAAACTTAAGACTAACAGTCAGAAACTTAAAGAATCCATTGGTATGTCATTCGGGAATATGTGTTTTATTTTAGAGTATACATTGTGGGAATCCAAGAATTTATCACTGAAGGGGTAGGAATCACATCAAGTCAAGGTCATAATCTCAATTAATTTCTATTGTCGAGCAATAGTTTTTTTGCTGTAGGGGTTTCAAGGTTTAGTTAAAAGACAATAGAAAACGTTTTTCTTTCTCACTTGTCTCAAAGATGATGTTAAGCTTTTAAAAGTATTGCATGTTACAATGTCTCAGTTCAGATCAGGCTGTTGTGGAATATTTCGGGGCCATGAGAAGTCATTATTGGCTCGTTTTAGTGGAGGCCACGGAAAGATTTACTGTGAAGATTGAAAAAGAACCTAACTAATCTAAAGCATGGTTTAAATCTTGGTAAAATCCAATTTAATTGTACTAAGCAAGCCAGCATGAAAACTATTTCGAATATTTCCCTTCTAATTCTCTAAAAAGCTACATATTTTGCGTCTATGAATGGTCTTACTTGCTTTTGAAACCTTAATAATCTCTAATTGTGTCATGGGATTGAATTAAGTTTCTCTGGTTATGTCATACCGCCTTCCTAAATTTGCATTGGCTATCATCCCATGTCTTCTGTATGTATCTTGTCTCTAAATATTGTTTAAATTCTATATTCTTTGAAATTCTCAACGTACAGATTCTAGAGAAATCAGATTTCACCATGATTGCTGGGAACCCTTTCATAAAAAAATCAGGTGGAGTACTGTACTCTATGTCCTTTCATTCCAACATGGAAAAATAGATGTAATTGGGGCAGTTTACTTTATACAGGATGGAGGAAAATATCATTTTATTTCAATCTCTCTTTTGAAATCAAGGACAAGACAATTGAATTTGACGATAACCGCAATGTCCAGCGTGCTGAGTTTGTTGTTCGAGCATATATGCAGTATGTTTATGGATGGACTTAATAACTCATCCATTATACTATTCCTATTTGTTTATCGATTTCTGCTGTATTCAGCCCCTTCCACGTTATATATAATCTTGAACTGAACTACACTCTGAAATTATTTTTCTCAATATTAGAGGTGGTAGATTTTGTGATGGATGGGGTTCGTGTGAACGACGTGAGAAGAGATTTATCAAGCCAAATCATGATATTCCTAGCACAGCAGAAACAAGGGCAAAGAATAAGGCATGCCAAGTAAGTCACTAATTTTCACAACCAACTTATCCGAATTTATTGTATAAGCTTCAGCTTATAGGTTAGAGTATACAAGCTAAATCTTTTATAATAGTTAACATTTTCTATTATGTAGGCTCAAATATCAATTCTGTTCCTGAAGCCTAACATGTGAATTATCAATATTTGATATCTATATAGAACGAAAGACATTGCAGGAGTTTTGAACACCTCCTCCTCTATCATATTAAATTACCATTAAACTTTTGAAAAAAACTTAAGATCTTAGATTTGAGCATATATATTCAATTTTTTTTTGTACATATCGTCGACAACTTTCACTCTGTATGTCGTATGGATTGGATTTGGATAAAAATGGTACATGTTTCATGCTCCTTTTAAATCCATTACCCAGTAGAGTAGATGTGATTCGTACTTAAACATTTCCAGGACCTGCTTGGCATTGGAGAGTATCGACCTGGTGCATCCCAGGGGCAAAAGTAAATACTTGCCTGATTGATTCAGCCCACAAAAGTTCGAAGAATGCAAGTTGTAACCAAGCCGAGATCTCTCAAGGAACAACTGTAATGGAGAAACACCATCTACCAAAGAGAAGTTCATCATGGGTTCTTGTAATGTTGTAGGCACTTTCTTATCTTTGGTAAAACATTCATATCTTTTTATAGAAAGTGATTTAGTTGGTTGCACCTTTTCTTATGCACTGGCATTACAATATGTAATAATGTATGTTGTTGGTCCCACTTCCCCAGTTTGGAGGATCGTTTGGTTGTTGCGAAGTGATGTTACTTTCTTGGATGCCTGCTATACAGCACTTTATCATTATTCCTCAGTCGGTGCAGGCCATTGGTTTAGTGATAAAACTCTTCTGTTCGAGCTCGAGCTGGATTTGTGGCCCATTGTCTGAAAAGGAAATTGGTTCTGCGGATGAAGCAATTAACTTACCGTAACGTGGGACCTTCATAAATGTTTCATCATGTTGGGGGCTGAATTTTTCACAATTTTGGATGGAAATTGAGATTTAGAATAGGTGTAGCAATGACTAAAAATAGTGTGATGCCGATTAAGCTTTTGATTTTCATTTTGGGTTACTGCAACTCTCAATTTTCTCCATTATTCTAATGGTTTTTGTACTCATTTTTGAAACATTTACATGAGTTCGAGAGTAATATTGTGATTTTTGACATAATAGAGTTAGTCTTTAAATAAAGGTAAAATTCATAAATATTTAATCTAAACATTATAATAATAATGTACTAATAAAAATTAAGTTTTATGCAATAAAATATACTAATAAAAATACTTTCGTAGAGACTAATTTGAAAAAAAATCAATAATAAACTAGTAACAATTTTATGATTCACATATTAAATTACCATGAAAAAAAATTGGAATTAATAAATTAACGTAAATAGTAATACCGATAAAAGGGTGTTTTGGACATATTGGGTGTTGATCAACCAAAATGACCACAATAAGCCCTTGGCTAGTGGCAGAAGAAGAAATAGAGGAGGGTATAATAGTAATTGCGCGAAAAGAAAATAGAATTTGGGAGTTTCCTTCTCTGGCCCTCCACTGGTCGTTAGTCCACCTTCAAATCGGACGGCAGTAGGAAATTATTCTCTCACGTCCTTTCCTTCCGCCAGCTCCCATGTCTGCTACACAGAAACTGCAATTCCTCCACAGTTCAAATTGACTGAGGCTGATATTTGCAGGGCCAAATGCCAATGGCGTCGTATGACAGCCATGTGATGCAAATTCGCAAGAGCAATCGTACATTCTTGTTCTCTCTATAATTTAAGAATTTTTATAGTTTCTTCCTTGTCCATTCTTGTTCGTCGATTTCTTCGGTTTAATTATTTCACTTCGTCCTGAATTCTCCTTTTGATATCGCCGGATTTGACTCTTCGTCGTATCTCTCAAGCTCCAAACTGACCCCCTCCCCTTTCTCCTGGTACATTATTGCACTTCATGCTTTCAGATTCAACCATGGCTCAACAGGTATCCCTCTCTCTCTCTCTCTCTCTCCCTCCACGTGAAAATTCGGAGTGCTTTATTTTCCCTAATCGAGCGTTTGATTTCGGAATGTAGGAAGATGGATGGCCATTAGGCTTGCGGCTTATGAACACCAGAGTTGGATTGGCAAGAAATCATGATCTCTCGGCCTCGGTTTCTTTCAATACTTTGCGCACTCATTCTCCTAGTTCCTTCACCGACTCTTCCTCAGATCTTGATACAGAGGTCTGTTACTTCAATTAGTTCCTCTTTTTTTTTTCTGTTCTTCTTTTGCCTGTGTAACTGTATGCGTTAGAGAGGCTGAAAATTTAGCACATTATGCTTGACTATAGAAGAATTCCTTTTCTTTCATGCTCTCGTTCGATCATGCAAATACATTGCGTTGGGTTAGTCACAAAAACTTCAAAATCTTTGGCATTGTCTTTTTTGCCCTGTTTTTGCTAAATTCCATCAGGCAATTGGTTTTTAGTCAACTGGATCATTCTACCATGACAAGAGCATCACGCTTGGGAGTCTCATTGGAGTCTCTAGCCTTCTGGAGCTGTCGCGAAGATCAACCAAAGGAAACAGAGTGGAAATACTCAAAGACAAAAAGAAGTACAAGTCCAAGCCATGGTTGTTTTCTTTATCTTTATGCATTAAACTCCGCCCTGATGCTGTGAGCTTGAGCAGTTCTCCTTCACTTGAACACTCTCTTGAAGCAGAAAGGAGAGCTCATAACCCGACCATGTATGGACCCAATGATTACTCGCCTGTTCGTCCTGTTTCTGGAACAAACTCTTTGTTTTCCAGTGATCAAGTTGCTCCTGTGCAGCCATTTGCACCGGCGGTCACAGAGGAAAGCAGAAGATCAATTGGAGAACTTGCCGAAGATGGTTACTGTCAAGGAATTCCTCCACTCTTTTCATGTCTATATTGCCAACTGATCAAATAATTCTTTCTTTCATTCCTATAATAACTTTGAATGCATTGTTTCACTACAACTTTTTTCTTCATGGACAAATGATGCATGTCAAAAGTTATATGGTCATTTCTTTCATTCTACCATTTGGGTTGTGGGAGACTTATCATAATCACCATTGAGCCATTGTGTTTGGATCAGACAAATCAATGTATTCTCAGCTGCTACGTTCAGTCTGTTTACTGCCAAGTTAGTGAACCATTTTAAGTGGCAGCCATGGCTAGCTTATTAACTCTTAGCATATGATAGAAGAAAAAACTTCAAATGGTCCTTCTCGTACGTTTGCCCACATCGAACCACACGACCCTTGCATACTTTACAATGTGAGCCCCATCAGTACATCCAAATGACGATGCTCTATAGGTGAAGTAAAAACCATAGAACCAGATGAATCTGAGGTTGTCATATCCACCGGTCATCTATCTCTTAAGGCCATTTTTAAGACTACACATATTTCCCTGGATTTTGTTCACTCAACTTCCCAAACAGGGCAGATAAGCTCTTCAAGCTGCTGTTTTCTTCATTGAAATTTGACGTTCTCAAGCCCTTCAGTTTCAATGGGGAAATTTCTTGGTCTACAAAGTCATTACTCTTCACCTCAGCACAAGAAGTTGAGCAATGCTGCTTCTGCAAAATGGGCAAACAGGGGCTGTTGGACGAGCTGTCGTTGGATTAGGCTTTTTGTGGCAGCATAAAGTTAATGTGCAATGGGCGCACATTCTATGGCCACATGGTTGGGCTTCAATATTGCAGCACAACTCTGTATCGCTATCCTGTTTGGAAGGATTACCACAAAGTAATCTAAGAGTAGTATAGTATACCAATGAGTAAAACTAGAACATTGAGGGGAAACTCCAAGAATTTTAGCACCCTCATTATCATTAGTCGAGCTAAAATGTGTGGTTGTATTTACCTCAGATGCTAAGTCATTGTCATCATACGCATCAATGTGAGCATCAGATTTCAAAGGACAAGGAGGTGTGATGAATTTTTCCATCAATATGGCCTTCTCTCTCTGCATGTTTGCATCCATCAAAGCCTTTTCTAGCAAAACTTTTGCATCTGAATCTAGCTCAATGATTAGCTTCAAAGGTGAAGGCCATACTAGAGGTTCTGGTGATGAAGGGTTCAATAAAGCTGCACAAGCTTGATGCTTATGCTTTAAAGCAACCGTAAATGGTATCCTCCTGCAAATGATCGAGCTGATACCTTTAGAAAACTTCATTAGGAGGTCTATTGTTTACTTCCAAATTGGACTGTTCTAAGACAAGTATGGAAATAACTTAACATGGTGCCTAAGGCTTCAGTTGATCATGAATAGCAATCATATCAGGAAAAGAAGGTATCGAGGTCTGAAATTTTCGGTAACGTTTACAACTGTTATAATAGTTCAAGCCTACCACTATGAGATATTGAGGCAATAGTATTTGACATTTTAAAAAATTATTTCATTACAATAAATGCGTCTAAATTAATTAATTTTCGGCCGATTTTTCTATTTAAAAAGGAAATATAAAACGTGGTTTTAGTCCTTTTCTGAAACTATTTCGGTGATTGGTCGATTGCTTACGGCTGTAAAGTAAAAAACAACGCACGGCCGCACAGTATAGATTCTCGGGCTCGATAACATTTCAGCCCAACACCGGGTTCAGTATTGGGCCTTACCTTTTACCCATTTCTTAATTGGGCCTCTATTTTTTGTTCGAGCCCACTCCAACGAAAATTTACGCCCAAGACTTACGAGGCCCAACAAGCCCATATATATTAGCATTAGAGCCTAAAACCACCCGCTGTCTGAAGTTCGGCTACTCTAAAACCCTAGAGAAAACCATTTCCTCTCTTCGTTGCAGCCTACACACTCGCAGCTTATTGCTTAGTTTTCCGAAAATTCAGCCATGTCGGGCGTTGAGATTTCTCGTTCGGAGAAGAAAAAGAAGAAGCACCGGAGTAAGGATGACGAAGTGTCACCGGCTGTCGGTTCTGATGAGCAGCCGCCAAAGGACGTTGCCGACTTTATGATCAAGCCTCAAAGTTTTACTCCTCCGGTGGATACATCTCAATGGCCTATTCTTTTGAAGAACTATGATCGTCTCAATGTGCGTACCGGTCACTACACTCCTCTGCCGTCCGGTTTCTCCCCACTCAAGCGGCCTCTGGCTGACTACATCAGGTATGGTATTCTCAATCTTGATAAACCGGCGAATCCATCGTCGCACGAAGTTGTGGCTTGGATTAAAAGAATTCTTCGGGTTGAGAAAACGGGTCATAGTGGTACTCTCGACCCGAAGGTTACTGGGAACCTGATAGTGTGCATTGATCGAGCCACGCGGCTCGTGAAATCGCAACAGGGTGCGGGTAAGGAGTATGTGTGTGTTGCTCGATTGCATTCTTCTGTGCCCGATGTTTCTAAGGTGGCTCGGGCTTTGGAGACGCTCACCGGGGCTGTGTTTCAGAGGCCGCCGTTGATATCGGCTGTGAAACGACAGCTTAGGATTAGAACTATATATGAAAGCAAGCTTCTTGAGTATGATGCTGATAAACATTTGGTTGTGTTTTGGATTTCTTGTGAAGCTGGAACTTATGTTAGGACGCTATGTGTGCACTTGGGTCTGATTCTTGGCGTTGGAGGGCATATGCAAGAACTTAGGAGGGTGAGATCTGGGATCTTGGGTGAGAAGGATAACATGGTTACAATGCATGATGTGATGGATGCTCAATGGGTTTATGATAATTTCAAAGATGAGAGCTACTTGAGGAGAGTAATTATGCCACTTGAGGTGGTTTTGACGAGCTATAAAAGATTGGTTGTCAAGGATTCTGCTGTTAATGCTATTTGTTATGGTGCTAAGTTGATGATTCCAGGGCTGTTGAGATTTGAGAACGATATTGAGGTTGGGGAAGAAGTTGTACTCATGACCACCAAGGGTGAAGCCATTGCTCTTGGTATTGCAGAGATGACTACTTCTGTGATGGCAACTTGTGATCATGGTGTAGTTGCAAAGATCAAAAGGGTTGTGATGGACCGAGATACTTACCCAAGGAAATGGGGATTAGGTCCAAGGGCATCAATGAAGAAAAAACTTATTGGAGAAGGGAAGTTGGACAAGCATGGAAAACCGAATGAGAAAACTCCTTCGGAGTGGATGAGGAATTTGGTTTTACCCACTGGTGGGGATTCTTTGGTTGCTAGCGTGTTTGCTTCTGACTCTGCAACTGTTGATGAGGGTAAGCAAGAGACAGAAAAAGATGGTGGAGGGCGGAAGCGAAAACTTGATGAAGAAACCGAAGCTGCTCCTGCAAAGAAACTGAAAGCTGAAAAGACTGAAGATGCCGAAGAAGTTGAAGAAGGCGGGAAGAAAGAAAAGAAGAAGAAGAAGAAAGACAAAGAGAAGGGTAGTGGTGAACCTTCGGACGAGGAGAATACTGTGCGGTTGGAGAAGAAAAAGAAGAAGAAGGACAAAGAGGGTAAAGAAGCAGGTACACCGGAGGAGACACAGAAGTCGGAGAAAAAAAAAAAGAAGAAAGATAAGGAATCTGGTGTTGGTGATGTTCAAAATGGGGAAGCAGATGATCATGTTGATGGGAGTGAGAAGAAAAAGAAGAAGAAAAAGAAGAATAAAGAAGATGCAGAAGAGTAAGATAGAGGGATCAGATTCTTACATTTTATTTGGGTAACTCTGATTGTATGGCTGTCCATTTCAGTTTCTTCTAGATTTTGCAAGTTCTTTCTTTCTTTCTTATGCATTTGCTGTAGAATTTTTGTTTCAACATTTCGACTCTGTTCGATTCTACCATAGTATCTTCCTGGCTATCATCTCTTGGATTTATGGTCTCTTTTGATATCTTTGATTCCATCTTTTGCAAGCTGATGGGCCCATCCTTGGGACAACCAAGGATTTGACACTTCAAAAGAAGCAAATGAAGAAGAGGGTGGAAGCAGGAATGGCCCATATAGAACGAACATCTATGAGCTCAAGCAAATCAATTTTGTTTTTGTTTGTATAATTTGAGATGTGAAATCAAGTTGACATTTACTAGTTTGCTTTATCCATAATACGAGTGTTGTTCATCTTTGTTGCTTAGTATGTTTTGATTTTATCTGTTTTCACCAAGCAGATACCAAATTTTCATGGCCGATCCAAAATGTCATGATATCCAACAATTCCAACTAGAAGAAAACTGCTAAATTTGAGACCAGCACAACAGACGTGGGTTCATTCAATTCTAATCATTTTACATAATTATAAGAATATATAATTATATTTGCATGAGCTTTCCGTAAGGACTTCATGGCCCAATGGATAAGGCGCTGGTCTACGAAACCAGAGATTCTGGGTTCGATCCCCAGTGAAGTCGATCTAGATATATTATTTTTAAAGTTTCCCATTTTATCCATTGGAGTATAAACGTACATTAGTCTTTTCATTATTTACCTCTGTCCTTTTTAGTGGGGGTGGTAACATTTGAAATTTTCTTTTGTTGTGAAAAGGTTGGATGAAACGGTGTCGTTTCTTAAATAGAGCACATGGACCCCACATATATTCCCATGCAAAAAAGAATATATATATATATATATATATAAAGGAAGACCGTAGTACACTACAAAAGCCCTAATCTAACTTCTCTTAATGATAATCTCGAAAAAAAAAAAAAACCTTTAATTATTTAAAATAATTATGAAAAAAAAAAATGGAAATTTCCATTTCCCAATCTTCTCCAAACTCCATTAAGCCGGTCAGCACCGTGTCCACCCAAACATAGAGACACCAACTTTTTCTCTTTTCTTTTTGTTTTTGTTTTTATTTTTCCCCCTAAAACCAAAATTAAATAATAAGAAGAATAAGAAGAATAAGAAGAATAATAATAAAATGTGGTTTGTGCATGCAAAGATGAGAACCACTAATCTCTCTCCTCCCACAATGGGTTGGATGAGAGAGAAAGGGAAAGGAGGATGAAAAGAAGGTTATAGAGTAAGAAAGAAAGGGAAAGGAGTCGTTCTTCCTTCTTCCTTCTTCCTTCTTCCTTCTTCCTTCTTCCTTCAAACCCCAAACCCCATTTAACCTTTACAAAAGACAAACAGAACCCAGAAAACAAAAAACACCTCACCATGAATTTCTCCTCCATTCCTCCTTATCTTGATCCTTCCAACTGGCACCAGGTAACCGTTTTTCTTTTTCTTTTTCTTTTCTTTTTTTCAATATTCCCCTATTTTCCTCTCTTTATACCTTCAGTTTTTGTTTCCTTTGAATATTCTTCACATATTTCATTTCATTCCCTCTTATTAATTTCCCCTCAGCAACTCACCCATCAACTGGGAACCACCACCACCGGAGTTAGCTCTCAGCTCCTTCCTCCACCCCCTCCTCCGCCTCCTCCCCCACCTCCCCCTCCCCCCCATGGCGTCGGTGCTCCCACTTCCATCCGCCCCGGTTCGATGGCCGAGCGAGCTCGAATGGCTAATATTCCCATGCCTGAGGCAGCATTGAAATGCCCAAGATGTGATTCAACCAACACTAAGTTCTGCTACTTCAACAATTACAGCCTCACTCAACCTCGCCACTTTTGTAAGACATGTCGAAGGTAAATATTTATGATTTTATTCAAATTTATTTAAAAAATTTCTCTTTTCTAAATAAATCATTCCTTCCATAAAAGGGTTACTTAGCTTAGCTTCTATGGTTCTAAATTCAAAGGCTATTATATAAAATTTTTAAGATTTCATATTTTTGGCTCCGCTCTTGAAGGTACTGGACTAGAGGTGGAACGCTGCGAAGCGTTCCGGTCGGGGGCGGGTGCCGGAGAAACAAAAGAAGCAAAGGGAGAAGTTCCAAGTCGCCGCCGGTCAGTTCCGACCGACAACAAACCTGTGGTTCAGGGAATTCCTCATCGAGTGCAATAGCTTCCAACAATAGTGGAGGTCTTTCCCCACAGATTCCACCTCTCCGCTTCATGGCTCCTCTCCACCAACAACTCAGCGACTTCGACATCGGTGGCTTCAACTACGGTGGTGGCCTCTCAGCTCCGGCCACCGTTACCGGCGACCTGAATTTTCAATTGGGCAACACTAATTTAGGTGGAGGAACAAGCATTGGATCTCTCTTGGGATTTGACCAACAATGGCGGCTCCAACAACAAGCTCCTCAATTTCCCTTCTTTTCCGGGTTAGACCCTTTCGACGGTGGTAGCGGTAGCGGCGGTGACGGACCCAGCTGGGAAATGAGGCAAAAATTACCATCAAGC